TTTGTTTCTGTAAAGAATCGAAATGCCCAAATAAAATTTGCCAAGGAACATCTTAATTGGACTCGTGAGCAATGGTCAAAAGTTCTTTGGAGTGACGAATCAAAGTTTATGTTGTTTGGATCTGATGGAATCAAGTTTGTGAGACGACCAAAGGGTCATAGAAACGATCCTAAGTATCAGTTACCGACAATTAAACATGGTGGAGGTAACGTTATGGTGTGGGGATGCTTTAGTCGTGATGGAGTTGGTCCGATTCATCGAGTTACTGGTATTATGGACAAGGAAATGTATAAAGATATCATCAACAGAGTAATGCTTCCCCATGCCAAACGTGTTATGCCTCGAGGTTGGATTTTCCAGCAGGATAATGATCCCAAACACACATCGAAGGTCGTTAAGGAATTTTTTAAAACCAAGAAGATCCGAGTTTTGGAATGGCTATCTCAAAGTCCGGATCTTAATCCGATTGAGCATCTTTGGGAACATGTAGAGAGACAAATTTCAGGTCGAAAACCTACAAATCAGAATGCTTTGTTCACCATAATTAAGGATGCTTGGGAAAAGATCTCAATAGATGTTTTGATTAAGCTGGTGGACTCAATGCCGCGACGATGTCAAGCAGTAATTGATGCTAAGGGCTTCCCAACAAAGTACTAAACAGAAGAACTCAAAATTCTATCCATTATAAGCCATTCACTTAGTAAAGAGTATTTTTTTCTTAAACTTTTAATTTTGTCCGGATACTTTTGTCCATTCAATTTTTAGTTTTTTTAAAATAAAATTTTTGGTTTTAAAGATTTGTTATTAAAGTAATATTTTTATTAATTGTCATTCGATTTTACGTATTCCAGTGAAAATTTGAATTAAATTGGACCATCCAGTCAAAAGTTATAGACATTTTTGTGTTTGTCCGGATACTTTTGGCCGCTACTGTACTTTGATCGAAACCAAAAATGCTTTAAATTGCATTTTAAAACATATATAGGTATTATAAATGATTGAGGATGCTAATATAGATATAAAATCGATATTTTTTTGAAAACAGCCTACTATGATCGAAACCAAAAATGCTTTAAATTGCATTTTAAAACATATCTAGGTATTATAAATGATAAAGAATGCTAATATAGATATGAAATCGATATTTTTTTGAAAATAGCCTACTATGATCGAAACCAAAAATGCTTTGAATTGCATTTTAAAACATATCTAGGAATTATAAATGATAAAGAATGTTAATATAGATATAAAATCGATATTTTTTTGAAAATAGCCTTCTATGATCGAAACCAAAAATGCTTTAAATTGCATTTTAAAACATATCTTGGTATTATAAATGATAAAGAATGCTAATAAAGATATAAAATCGATATTTTTTTGAAACTAGCCTACTATGATCGAAACCAAAAATGCTTAAAATTGCATTTTAAAACATATCTAGGTATTATAAATGATAAAGAATGTTAATATAGATATAAAATCGATATTTTTTTGAAACTAGCCTACTATGATCGAAACCAAAAATGCTTAAAATTGCATTTTAAAACATATCTAGGTATTATAAATGATAAATAATGCTAATATAAATATAAAATCGATATTCTTTTGAAAATAGCCTACTATGATCGAAACCAAAAATGATTTAAATTGCATTTTAAAACATATCTAGGTATTATAAAAAAATGATAAAGAATGCTAATGGGAGATTCTTTGGATGAGTTTTTGGAATTTTTTTCAAAGAATCAATTTTTTGTTAAATTTTTTTTCTACCGACTCTCATTTTATTGTTTTGGCTAGTACATTAGGTCAAAATCTATCAAATTGTTTTTATTCTGCATGGTAAAATTGTACATTAATTAAGTTATTTGGATTCTTTGTCAATAACTCGTTGACAAAAAATGGAACTTGCATCCAAAGAATCAAAAAATAAAGAAAACTATGGAGTTTTTGCCCAAAAAATAAGGACCAGATGATAAAATTCACCTCATTCTACCTGCTTACTACGTTATTTCTCGTCATTGTAATTTAATTAATGAGATTTTTTAATTCTTTGACAAATTATTCATGTCAGCGAGTTATTTCAAAGCGCTTCAAATAATTTGAATTTTTAAAAACCGGGAAAAAATTAAAATCATAAAAACCGTTAAATTTATGTTCAAGAAAGAAGAATTTTATTAAGCCTTGGTCTTCTTAACAAACTTGATTCCTTTCAAGCCATCCAGTAATGACGAATTAGCAGCACAGATGTATCCTTCTTTCTCCGAAGGCATAAAAAAATGAAAATCAAGTGTTCAAGGAATAATTTTATGATTTTTCCATCGCTTCTCAAGCATAGGAAGTTCATCAGTGACTTCTTTTTGATCTACTTCAAAAACTGTAATTTTTTTTACAAAAGAAAAAGCACATTGAACAAAGGCTGCAGCTGTGTAAGCATCATAAAGGCCACTTAGTACTCTATAATGCACACCACGTTTTACAGTGCCTCCAATACCGTCGGCTGCACTTTTGCCATGACTTGTGCTAAAAAAGTTCCAATTCATTGTGACTCCAAAATCATTCATTGCGTACAAAAGATTTGATAAGCTACATCTATTTTTAAATTGCGCAGCGCATCCATCAGAGAACATACTAACATGATTAATAGTATATTTTTCCTTTAATTTACTTAATATCTTCTTCAAATAAACAAAAACTTGATCTTTACTATGCAAAGTATTGTTATTAACCACCATGAAGCTTTCAATGTGAGTTGTTCCTATATACCTACACAGGTGAAAAGACTTATTTGTTTGCGAGCTTAATATGACGCTTGGATTTCATTTTGGACTTTAGTAGAATAATTTTCTGCATAATCAACAACAATAGTTGCATGATCTACACTTTGTGATTGCTTTAAGTTCTGGAAAATTTGAAGCTGAATTTCTTCAAATAATAGTGTAGTTTAAAATCAATCATGTTTGACAAAATTTTGTCGATCACAATACTGACTGAAGAATTTTGAATCAATACTTTTTGCATGAATCCGTTTACTTTCTTCCATTCCTCAAAATTCAAATGATCATTGTGGAATCTTGGGGGTACTATTGCATCCATTATTGATTGATGGTCAGCACATTCAGCGCATATTCCAGAAATACAATCGAAATTTTCATGATGGCAGTTAAATTTGTAGCTCAAATCCTTTAATTCCATTTTTGGTAAAATCATGTATCGGGAAAGACTCTCAATCCACAACCTCATATTCTCGCAATAACTGCACAAGCAAGAGAATTGGATATCAGATGACATTAAAGCAACATTTGATGGACGGAGATGGCAAAATTTTGAAAGCGAAATTGTCCTGTCTTCAAACATCTTTAAAAATTCAGCATGTGCATCATTAACAGACATGACAATTGATTTTGATTTTTTGATCCTTCTCCTTTTCTCCTTCACTATTTTTAAGCAAAACGAAGTTTTTCATTCCTGGCAATTGACGGGAAATCATATCTAGACCATAAAAATCAATAACGAGATCTTGAACTTCTCTGAAGCCTTTTCGGTGTTTTGAAGTCGAAATTAGAACGGGATTATCAATAGCAACATCATTTCTGTTGGCTACAGCCAAAATAACTTCAACCTTTTTATATATGGCTTTTTCGACTTTTTTGATGGCTTTAGACTTGGCAGAAACTGTATCATAAAATGATTTCTGGTTTTTTTGTAAATTTTTCTTTTTACGTTTTCTGGATCTTTATAATAGTAATCTGTAAGAAAACACAAGGATTTTGGCTGAAAATTAACAAAATATTCTGATTGGCTAAAATTCATAACGGATTAAGTTCTAAAAATAAGGACTACTAAAAAAGTACTAAATCTAATTGTTCTAAAAATAAGATCCGTTTGCCTACCACAGATTTGAATTTAACGGAAATTTAAGGAAATATCCAATCATGTAAAACTCAATAAGATTCGTTAGAGTTTCAATCACTTCTTATTCTTGCTTAGACTATAAAATTGATAACAATTAACTTGATCAATTGTGATGAATTTTTATTTGGAGATAATAATACGTTTAAAAAAATACAGTACTGAATTTACATAGGTAGTGTACATCAATCAAACTTTACTGCTTGTAAAGAGGAACTGAAAACACTTTTAAAAAATAAACATACAGTAAATAAGTTGTAATAAAATATACATATGTCCTTTAACATCGTTGAAGTTCGATTTTTTCCTTATTTAACAATTCCAAGTTATAATTATTAATGATATTTGTCTTAGTATCACACAATAATCTCCGACATGCCAAAATCAGATGCACTACAAACATAAAATTGTCATCGACAAAAATTATTGAAAAACATCTGATTTTGAAATTTTGTTCTCAGCTCCTTTTCAATTAAACTACACAGTTTATGACACTTATCAGTTAAAACTGCTATAAATAGCACAAATGCATACATATCATGTCATTAAAATATTTATGGCTTAATTTTTTCATCTGTTAATAATTTATTATAGGATTCATCTTTGAACTTCAAATCTCTTTAAATGCTTATTCCTTACGCAAAAAAACGACTTTTTTCACCCCCCCCCCCCCTCCCCTGAACGTTCATAATTTATTTTATCATTAAAAAGGTGGAAAATTTAAAAAAATGTTTTTGGTGTGAATTTGTTAACAAATTTTTTTCATGAACTTTTTTTTAAAAGACAGACGACAATTAGAACGTTACATACTTCTTGGCACCCCCCCCCCCCCCCCCCCCCCCCCCTCGAAACCAAAAATGCTTTAAATTGCATTTTAAAACATATCTAGGCATTATAAATGATAAAGAATACTAATATAGATATAAAATCGATAATAAGTGAACGGCCCCTTACCAAAAAGACTGGATTGAGTGCTCGGAAAATTGCTCATTAGTAATAGCACGACAAAAGTTCTCCCCTTATAATTGTTGATGTTAAGAACCAAATCCAGTAATTTGAATATAATTTAAGTAGTGATTGGATTAATCTTTGGAATATGTCAAAGCTATGCTGTTCGCAAAATGCTAAATAAAAAAGGCTTGGAATATCACAAGCGCAAATATTTGGTATTTGATAAGAGAATTAAATTTATAGACATATATGTTTCAGCATAAAATTGATTAAGAGCACACAAATGTCAAAATTCAACTGGTATAATGATAAATGTCAATACGCATTTTAGTGGAACAGTAAATTCACCTCTAAGAAAAAGAAACGTTGCAGCTCCTTTCAAAACTTGATTATATGGTTTAGCACTTTAGTGGATAACAAACATCATTTATGTATAAGTCACAATAAACTTTTTCTTAAACTCGTCCACGACGATATTTTCCTAAAAATACTCCACATTTGCTGCATGAATGATTGACGTCTTTAATAGAATCAATACAATATGGAATACAACAGCAACACCAGAAACCAAAGAGGCACAATCCAAGTGCTATTGAATGGTTAATGACATTATTCTCGTGACTCACTTTTGTAACTATTTGGTTCCTGCAACTTGGGCATGTCATAGCAATTGGATTTTCACCGAATATAACTTGTTGGTTGATAACAACTACATCTAAAAATAGAATGATTATAAATTATGACTGAAATAACTTGAATGCAATCATAAGAAGGCATTATGTTTTACTCTATTCAAATCAAGAAAACCTTGTACAGCTGGAATTTCCTAATATTTGAAACAAATTAAATTGCAGTGAATTTAAATTGTAAACTTACTTGTTCTTTGGTGAATTAATGGCTGCTGTGGTATAATCATAGGTTGTTGCGTGATTAAAGGCTGTTGTGGATAGACTGGTTGATTCCATTCCGATTGTTGTGGTAAATTTGGGTATGGAGGATTTTGTTGAAATGAATTTTGTTCGATTGGAGGAGCTGTTGGATAGATCTCATTGTATGCTGGGGGTTGAAATGATTTCTCTAAAGTAAATAAGCAGTTGATGTATTAATAATGATCCTATTAGTGGCTAGAACAATTTATTTAGATTTAACTTACCCATTTTTAACAAAAAACGAATCAAATTTTCGCTTTGATTGTGTTGTTGTGAAATTTAAATAGTTTTTGACCGTTATTAAATTGAACACGTGATCACTGCAGAACAAAATAATTAAAAAAATAAACTTTTTACACAGTTCCTTGCATTTTATTCAACATTTCGGTTTTAATTATATCCCTGAACATAATCCTATTCATTATAAAATTTCATTCCCGTTTAAAAACGTTTATAAATACCCAAAAAGTGAAAGCATTTGGGGCATGTATGATGAACATCCTTCAAAGAGTTGATGAGATATGGGATACAACATCCACAAATCAACAAAAACAACAACAAGCCAGAGCAATGAACTACAATGTTACTTTCATAAGTAACATTTGTATAGACTCGATCTCCGCAATTTGAACATCTTACAGTCAATGGAACGCTTCCCATCATCTGAATTTTCTGAATAGTGTTCATTTCAGCTATAAAGTAAGGTAATTTAAGGAAACAAGAGATCATTTGCATATTGTGAACTCTTACGTTCCGAATTAGACTGACTAGACTGCCCATACATGCATGTCGATGGAGTATAAACAGGTGGAACAGCCACGTCATTTATTCTTGATGACACAGAATTCAAAGGATCTTTTGAACAAGATCCTTGATTATTTTGTGTCCTGAATATATTTGGCGTTTGACAGTCGCCTCTGTATCCTTTTTGCTGGTAGTCGTAATAATCTGAAAAATATTTCAATTATAAGAAAGAAAAAAATAAATTAAAGCCTAAAAAGTTTTATTAAATTTACTCATTTTAAATGTCTTGCAACTTGAAGAAACAACCTTAGCAATGAACTAAAAGTCATTTTAGTTTTTTTATTTCAACGACATGTGCTGAGGATTACACGAGTATAGATGCAATAAAGTTGATTAAAGTTCTAATTATTTTGACGAGTTCCGAAAAGTGTTAAACACAACGATTGCAAGAAAAACACAGACCACGTAAATTAGTAAAATTTTCTTCCATTGAAAAGATTTTCCAGACCCTGATCTATCATATGAATGTTGAATTTCTCGATTAGCCGGAAGTTGAGTATCAACTTGAACAACACAATTTGATCTTGGTTGTGGATGTACATTAAATTGAGTTTGATATCTATTATTCCTTAAATTTTGTGCCATTCCTGGTTGATGCATTGCCTCAAATATACGTTGATGATTGCGACAATGAATTGGTAGCTAGTTTACGGCTTGCTAAGCTCTTATATTAGTAGTCATTACTTCAGGCACTGAATAAACCATTGGTTGTGAAACAATAGATGATATTGTGGAAATTTCGACATGGTTTTTTGGTCGTGATACTTGATTCCTACGACACATTGCTTCTTCATAGGATGGAGGTAAGTCATATAAACAGCAGCGTTGATGCGACAAATTTGAACTCTCTGGAATATGAAAAATTCTCAGCAAAAATAATAATTTCAATATTCAGAAAATAGAATATTACCCATGGCTTCTTCAAAAAACTCTAATAGTCTGTTGACTAAAACTAGACTGATATGTAGACTAAAGAAATTGGGTTTGTGTTCATCAATCATTCATTTTCAATCTTGTAGTTCTAGCTTTTACATGTTAACTTATTAAACTTGTTATTGTTTTGACTTAAATATGAACAAGTGCGTAGCTGGAAATTTGTCAAAGAGACGAAAAAATTTTGGGGGTGTGGTTTGTAAGTTTTTTCTCAAAGAACCCTAGTAGATTGAAGAAATATTTCTAAAACGCTTGTTTAACCAGGTTTAACATTTATTTCGCAAATTCCAAAGTTACAAAATTTAAATAATAAAATAAATAAATTAACATTATTAAAGTTTAATTGTTACAATTGTATTTTCGTGATATAAAAGAATTGTCTTATTTTTAATAAACGGAGGTAAGTGTTTATGAACATAACGATAAATAAAGAAATATTTGGTAGCAACATATTTGGTTACTGATAGTTTACAACACAATTTTATTTTTGAGAAAATCAAACCGCAATTCTTGTTCAACTTAACACTGAATTTTTTTAATTTCCTTATTTTTCTGAATAAATAAAATTTGAGCTGTTTTACGACCTGTTTTTTTTAAATTGAAATATCAAAACGTTGTTTACATTTACACAATTTTTTTTTCTTTTCTTTTGTACATTCAAACTCAATTCATCAGCTCACACTTTACCAATGAAAATCACTTTTTAACTTCCAAAACTCTAAATTGTGAAATTTACACGTTTCTAAAGATACATACTGAAGGATCAATGAATTTGCTTTTATGCAATTTTGTTCACTTTTGATGATTTGTTCAGATTTGCTAAGGAGTTCTTCACAAATGAGATTCTTATTTTTCATGTCATTGTTACAATATCATCTTTGAGCCATAAATTCAACATGATATAAAAATGTACAAAGTCACTTTAGAAATAGTTTACGAATAATTAAAAAATTCAAAATGAAGTAAAACAATTGAGATGTTGATGAATAGCACTAAACAGTTGGTAAATAATTAGTATGCAAGTGCTGGTGGTAGTTTTCTAAAATTTAGATTTTAACAGAATCTAAAGTTTCCTCGATAATTTCCAACATATCTATTGCATTTTTGGCAGTAATGTCTAACAGATCGAAAATCTAAAATAAAGATTGAAAAAATTGACAAATTAGAGATTTATTTTGATGGAAAAACTAGGAGTTCAGTTTTTGATGTTGCAATATATTAGTGAAATTAAACCAAACTTCAAAATCTAAACGAACTAGGACAATATAAGATACAATCAGAAGATGCGAAAAAACTTTATCTAAAAATACAATCATAATGAATCATGAATTGAGTTATCAAGAAAATGGTGAAATTCATGATAATTAAAATTTGTCGTTGACCAACAACATGATTACAAATATAAATTTGATTCTTCAAAAAAAGTACAATATTCCAGTAAAATTTAAGAAGTTGATTTCTTACTCTTGTAAAATTTAAGTAAAAATTTCAAAGGATTAAAAAAATTCCAGAGAATGCCCTAATTATGTTACTTCATAAAATGTAACTTCGCAATTTCAAAAAAAATATTTTCTGGTTTCTATCAACGATTCAATCCACAGCATGCAAATGATTCATTTGCGTAGTAAAATGTGGCGATTGGATATGGGAAATAATAAATAAAAGAAAATTTGAGAATATTTGATTTACCATTAATTGTATACGGTAGCCATGCACAGAGACACATGCCAAATAAACACATTACAAATGCTAACATATGCGTTTTATTTGTATTTTTCACTTCTACATTAGTGGACGTTGGTGATTGGCACTTAGGACAAATAATGTGTGTGGATACTGCTTTAAGTTCATCATTATCTAAAACAATTTAAGATTTTATAAATTGAACAAATTAACATTATAAATACTTACAATATATCATTTCTTCCATTTTTTATGAATTTTATGTCTTGTTTTGTGTTTTTTGGAATTAAATTGTTTTTATTTATTAGAAAATTTAATAAAAATGTGAAAAAATTTGACAAAAAATATTCTCCACTCAATTTTTTTGTGCTTTACACATTCGCTCCAATGAAGATACTGACTAAAATTGACTAAAACGAAAATGAAATCATCATGAAGACACATGAGGAGCTGGCCTAAAAATATCATCAATTAGGATTCGTAACGCTATTTTGGATTTACTTTTGTTTTGATTTTTTATTCATTTTTTTTTAAATTTTTTTGAATTCATTGTTTTTTTTTTGTGAATCTTAGGTCCTTTACTAATTACGTCTTGAGTCTCGAGAGTGGAACGTGGGTAAAAAAAAATTAAACAACAATATAACATTTACCAAAATTTATAAATCCAACAAGGCTGTGATCAGAATAAGGAAGAGTAAATTTCTAAATCATTTAAACATTATCACTTATAAGCAGCCAGAAGTGATTTTATTTTTCAAAAAATTACCCACCGGGAAATAAAACATTCCACGAAGAAATAATTTTCTGCAAAAATTTTCGTTAATTTTCTCATTTTTCATGCGTAATTTTTTTCTCTAAATGTGTACGTGATGCTGAGTATATTTAATATAAATGAGAGAATATTGTTCATTTGTCTTCGGATTTTTTTTTTTTTTCATAAAGAAGATTTCCGGAAATTTAAATCAGATGATCATTAACGCCGATCAATGATAGAAATATTAACTCTCACTGTTTTTCTTTCGTGATTTTCTCAATGAACTAATTTTTCTCACGAAAATATAAGATTATACTCTCCATGTATGAACAGCATGACATATGTTATCATAACTTAACACAACAAAATGTGAATTCTTTTTAAAAAATGAAAATGTAAGTGAGATGAGTCTTGGTTTCACTTGAAAAGAAGAATTGAAATTTGAACATTTTCAGCTGATTAACATGATTTACGGTACATTTCTATCGACTGTCAGGCTAAAAATAAAGAAAATTTAAAGCGTGTTTTTGATATTTTCAAGTCTTCTTTTGTGTCTGTAGTTAATCCCTTTTTAAGATCAATGTTTTAATTATTTGTAGATCATGCAAAAGGAAGGAAGCTGTTGAATTTTGTTGGCATTGGAGTTGATATTCACATACAGATTGACGGAAGAATCAACAGAGGTATTTCTTTCTTTTATTTTTAAACATCCTTCCATTGGAAAAATAAATATTGATAATTAAATAAATGAATAATAAAATGAGATCAAATCATTGGACAGAAATGCTAATTAATCAGCTTTGTCTATTTTTCTACAACCTTTCATTACTTCTTCAAACAAATATTGAAATCCTGTGAATTATTTATTTTATTTGCTTTTTAATCTTTAATGTCTTCCTTTTATAACTTGTACAAAATTGTTGGTCGATCGACACAAAAAAGTAATAAATTCATCAAATAGCGTTGAGAACGTTACGAAATATCGATCAACATTTAAATTTAATAATTATTCAATTTAATAAATTAGGGACATCACTTGAGGCTATGACAATGCAAATTAGTCAATAATATAATCAAAACGTGGGATTTTAAAGGAAAATAATTTTTAACTTCAGACAGTTCGAAAATTAATAAATGAGTTCTAAAATGATTTCTGGCTATGTTATCATACTTTCAAATTACAACAATGAAATTTATTCTGGAATTCAAAAAATGTAAAATATTAATCAATTTCAACAGATACTCAAAAGTCGCAGGTAAAACCACATCAAATCAATCAGAAAATTTCAAGCACATCTCATAACACACACTTTGATTGTGTATTTCATCAATTTTCTAAAGTACTTCCGTAATGTCTTGACACTTTACCTCATCTATAGTAATTGCTTCATTTTTACTTGGCATGAAGTTTACTTTGATCCTCATTTTCATGTTTAAGTAATCTCATTTCAATTTTCTCTGTATTTTTGATTCATGTTTGCGTATTTTACTACGCGTTATATCAATCGATTTCCGATTGTGATTATCATCTTGATGTGAGTTTTTAAAATTCAGAATTAAAATTTTTCATCCAAAAATAATTTTGAGACAAAAGTCAATTAATATTGCAGATAGTGTTGAAAAATAAATGTTGCTTAATGTTTATAACATAGTTTATAAAACAAAATCTTTACCTTGAGATTACTTGCTAAGAAAACATAGGCTGTAGGATTAAAGGTCATCCAATCCTATAAACATAAAAAAAATCTTCCAAAATAACTTAAACAAGAGTTGCTTGATACGGCTATGCCTGAAAATTTCATTGACTGTCAAATAACAATACAATCTTATTGGTATATTCAAAAAGACGTGTTTAAAAGTGTAGAGAAATAAAAAATGTGTTTATTGATTTTTCAGTTTTCATGTTCATCATGAAAAATCTTGTTCTAATAAATTCAGTTTATGTCTTTATTTTATTATAGAACATATTTTTTTGAAAATAACATTACATTTACATAATTAAACTTTGTTTTACTTTTTTTGTTCAATAGAAAATGGAAAATCAGCGAAAAATAGGAAGAATTTAAAATGAAATTTTTTCGATTATTTTTTAACAAATTAGTAATGTCTCTTAATGTATATAACGGTTATAAAATGTCAACAACTTAATGCTCTGCTAGAATCTTGAATCAGAAAGTTAATTTTCGTCACAAAGCGAATTTGTGAAAATACGTAAATTCACTAAAAGTGTGAAAATCAAATTGTCAATAAATAAGACTGCTAAAATGAGAGAAAGTGAAAGATATTTTTTAATTTAATTTTTTTTTTTTTGGCAAAAGTGATGTTGCTGATATGGTGAAATTCAGAATAAGCTATAGAAGTATCTGATAAAATTAGAATCGAATCCTCGAAATTTTCACAAATGTCTTTGTTAATATTTTTTTTTATCTTCAATTCTTTAAAATTTTAATTTCTTAAAATGAAAATACAAACTTATAAGATTTGGAATTTCATGCTGGATATCAAACTAGATTACGCTAGATTATTAATACGGAATAGGAATTAAAAAATCAGAAGAATTTTAATTTACGTTATATTTTAAATAATCAGTGAACATGATTATGTAGATGTGTAAATAAACTATGAAGACATTAAATACATCTGTGCCAATATAGTTAGTAAACACAGTCCTAGTTAATATTATCCGTATTTTTTGTTTCTTTTGTTATTTGAGAAAGTTTAAATGAGTTTTTTTCAATAATTAACAGGCTATAGTTGAGTCATGCTAATTATATTTTTGTATATATTTAAATTTTTGTATAATCATCACATTGACTTTACAGATGTTGAAATTGAATATCAAGTATTCCCAGAAATTCAGGGAAAACAATGACATCACTAACGATTGATCTTTTGTTCTTCTACATAAAAGTTTTGACTCAAGGATTACAAATTTTTGTAGAAAATGTATCGCGACTCGGTTTTTACAATTGGGTTAATTGGGGCTGTTCATAAATGAAGTTTGTAAAACTTGAAATTTTTGACACCTGAGACTTATTTTACAAATTTTTATTACCCCTTTTTACCACGTTTTTTGTTGAATAAATGTTGAACATTTTTTGTGAATGACCCATATCTATTTTATTATAAATATTTTTCCACATCTATAGAGTGATTAAACTTAAATAAAATAAGAAAAAGGAATGAGGAAAACATTGAGCCGTGACCCCACACAACTTCACATTTCAAAAAATTTAAAATCACGTCGCGTGTGTAGAATCTTGACTTTATTTTAAAACAAACTTACGATGACTATAACTATAAAGATTTTAACGATTTCTGGCAAAACATTAAGTCGATTATATTTTAGAATATCTTTTCGCACATAATAATATTTATGTATTTTTTTTCTTTTAAAAATGACAATGACAACAATTATAAATTTATGAGAGTAAACACTAATGAATAAAAGAATGACTGTATAACAATGAGAAAATAGATAGATAGAAAAACAATTAAAAATAGGAGAAAGAATCACACTTTAAATGTAAAAATATAAAGCACAAAAATTTCTTTATCACATTTTTGTTAGCCACTGTAAGTTCCAAGATACATTTTACACTCAGGACAATAGTGATGCTTCCTCTTCCATGTATCAATTAAGTACACTAGACATGACAGCGGACAGCATCTATAGAGAAAAAGAGAAAATATTATTATTGCATATGTTCAAATTGACTGACATTAATTACAATTTTACAATGTGAACGATTGGTTGTAAACATGTGTAGCTTGTGCATCGTGTCGTTGAAAATAATTTCTAATGTCTTTATAGATTTTCATGTCGTTTTATTCTAAACACCCAGGCCTAGAAACTCGATAATGCTGCGAAATGTGCAATTTTATGTTAAAAACAACCGAAAATACTTTCCATACAAAACCTGGTTGGTTATATTTGGATTTATATTCAGATTTGAATCTCTAGCCTAATCCTCAATTCTTTTATTTCAAAGCGTTTTTGGGCCGTTCAATTATGACGTCCAATATTAACGGTCATTTTGTCAAAAAAGAACCATCGATTTCCAGGAATTTCTATTGTTCTTTTCCTTCTGAACCCCCCCCCCCCCCCCTGGACGTCATAAGTAAACGGCCCCTTTTGAAACTGCTTAATGCAATAAGTTTCTTAGTCTAGAAAAAAACTTGGTGACATTTTTGAAACAAAATTTTGTTTGAAAAATTTAAGTGTGATAAATGAAGATAATTATCATTATACTGAGAAAAGTAAAAATAAACAAAGGATTGATGGGGATTTACAAGAGAATTGATCTTTTCCGATCTTTGAATATTTGTCGATTTACTTTTAACTTTACATAATTTTTTAAGTATTAAATAATAAATTCTAAGGTACTGTACAATACTTCTAGAAAAATGATCAAACTTAAACTTTATATAGATTAAGTAATCAAACTTTTAATAACTGTTGCCTATGCTTGATGCAATATCAAAATTAGAGGTCTTTATTTGATAATGCTTAAATAATAGGCAGTGTTATAAGTTTTTTTACCAGCAGTGTGTGATTTCCGGCAGAATAATAATATGGTCACCGAAAATGGTAAGTATACTGGCAGTTCCTGATCAATAATATCATATTTAGGTTCACAATAACATTCCTTTTGGTACGATTCAATCCTGTGTCTAAGAGATAATTCAAATCCGAAAAAATCTAGAAAGCCTAGTTATGCTTACATAAAATCACGAGTGGTTTCGTAAACACCAAGTAAATTACGTTTAAAAATCTTAACACGAGTAATGTCTTTTTGTCAGATTGTTTTGAAATTTTCTAAATCTCATTTTCATGTCACTCAAAACATTTTCTTTTTTCTTTACTTACAAATCCATTAATTTTATTTCCCATCATCTTCATATTCATGTTTGAACGAGTAATTTAAATTTGAAATAATGCACATTTTGAAAACTTACACAATTGTCATAATCAGAGCGGCTGCACAAAAATGCGTTTTTGAATAAGTCTCTGTATCAATGTGTGATGTGATTTGTTTGGCACATGAGGGACATTTCATTTTCATTGGATGTGGTCCTACCTTTTCATATTCGTAAAGAAAAACAAGAGAGAAATAAATAAAATTATCAACAATAATTTTCACAAAGAAAATTCACGTTAAGTGAATTATTATAAAGGAAATATACACTTTAATCTACATATGCCAACTAGTTTGAAGTATCATGAGATTAAAGTAATCAAAACAAAATTTCATTCTTCTTTTTTCGTTTTAAGAATTGTGATAATTTTAGTTTATTTTTAAATTTGAGTTCTAATAATAAATACGAAGAAGTCTCAAGTGCTACTAAAAGTCTCAAAAGAAAACTGATTCTCTAATCGTTTTGGTTCTTTTCAATCAATTTCATTTATGTTGGTGCTTAAGCTTTCAAACTTTTATTTTATTTCATTGTTAATTGATAAGCAATTATTTTTTTAATTAAGTAGTGTAAAAAGAGCTTTATAAGTAGGTCTTCCCGAAAACGATATGGTTAAGTTGATCAAAGAAAAGTACAGTAATTGTTTCTTTAACTTTAGGCTAGACTAATTGCTAAAGCATTTCTGATGAAACAAAATTTTTGGTCAAATTTTGAAGCAAATGAATTTAATTCTTTTAAACTTTTGAAATTTTGTAACAAGTGGTGAGGGGGTTCTAAAACATTCGCTGAAGGATCATATCCCCCCCTGTAGATTTTCTTTTAATTCTAGAAGATTAATTTACCATTTAAGACATAATTTTAAAAAGTAAAAATGCCATTAAAAATAACAATTCTGAAAAATTCTGGTGAGCTATCACAAAATCACGAGAGAAAAACCAAACGTTTTATCTTTAACAGTTTTTTGTTTAAATTTCGTGTTAATGTTTATTCTCAATGAACAAGCAATCGAAGATTATAATGTGATTAAATTCCACAGAGTAATTTAACTAATCACTTCGCCTTAAAACATTCACCATTCACTGGTATTTTAAGTTTTCACATTTTCATTTTTTTCACATAAAATTTGTAGTACATTAATTTTGTAAACAAAAGAACTTCCGATATCAATTGTTCATTCTATTTTTTATTTTTGTAGAAAAATTTTAAATTTTCTAAATGGAAAATAATTTTGAAAACCAGAAAAGTTTGGAGGTATCAAACTCGACACTATCAAAGTTCAATGACAACGGCTAGAAAAAGTCTTGAAACCTTTCCACATAGAAATAATTAATATATTCTAAAGGATTTAAATTAAGATAATTTCTAGCACATGGTTTTACAAACTTTAAGAAAAGCATTTCTGATTTTGAGTACTTTAATCTTTACGTTCTTCAAAATATAGATAGGAGGCACATAAAAATTTAATAAATTATTTTAAATACTAACTTCGGGTGCGTGTCTCGCAATAAGTGCAGCTATATATTGCAAAAAAAAAGAATAAAAACATGATATTAATCACATTTTTTTATTTCTTCATCCGAAAATCATATTGAAAAATCGGGAATTTATTCTCACACTCTATAAAACTCCATGGTTTATCTGGTTCTTGTAATCCTTTATGCAATTTTTGTGGATTCATAAAATTATCCATCTTAGCTTTGATTTATTTTTTTAAAATCTCTTAAAAAGTATTTAGCAAAATATTTCAGCACTTAATTAAATTAATTATTTTTCACTTGATGCAATAAATGTCAATTAACACATTTGACATCAATTTGTTTTCTACTTTAATTAATTATTATTATTTTTTCTTCCGTTTAAACACGAATGACAAGTTTCAAACGAGATATGAAGAAAATCTGAGAAAATCGTAAGAGCACGTTCCGTACGCGTTCAGTTCAAATAAGACAATGAAAATCTAGTGAAAAGAAAACACAAACGTTTTAAGGAGAGAAAGGCAGACGGTGTATTATAATTATTTTTGTATAGTATAGTGTAGTATGCTAATTTTCTTTTTTATGTATTTCATCAGTCGATGAAAAGAAGATCAAGTCAAAGAATGTGCACTGTATGGAACCCAAATGAGAAGAAATGAGAGAAACTCTTTTGACTGTTTTTTTTTCACAACTTTTTTTGTGTGTACAAAGTTGAGGGAAATAAAAAGAAAGAAAATTTTTGAGTAAAATATTTTCTACGATATCGATGCGTTGTCTATAAATACTGACTGATCGTGAGATGGTCAAATATAATGAGAAATTTTCGTGTAATATGGAAAATAAATCTTTCTATTAATGTGAATTTGTTAACGAGTGTAATTTATTGCAGATTAATTTTGGATAAAAATCAGAGTATACTAGAGTTGGCGATTTTGTTGGCAATAGCTTTCACTTGCGTCGACTGTAATCGACTTTAGGTAATACTGAATAAACGATCGAAAATAGTGTCGAAAATTTCCGTTTGTTATCTCTGTAAAAAATGATTTCCCCGAATTTTTATTAAAATTATCACCAATTTGTACTCCTTTTAAAAGGGCTTGAACAATGATGCATGAAAGTTATGAGAAATTTTCGTTTTATCAAAACCATGTGAAATTTTTATTTATTTTCAGATAACAAAGCTACACACAACAAACGAAAATGTAGACAAAATGTTCAATCAAATATTAAATTTAATCAATTTTCATATCTTATCACCTTTCAAGTACCGGAATATAGATAAATAGCTTAGCCCTTAAAATATTTCATATCAACGGATTTTCATTTTATTTATGCATTCCAACAAATTGACCACAATTTGGACATTCATGTCTTTGTCCTTGGCAGCTACTAACGCAATATGGAATTAAGCAGCATCCCAAACTGCATCCAATCAAACATATACCCAATGCAAACAAGTGTGTTTTTGTCGTTGCTTCGTCTTTTACTCGTGTAGTTATGTTGGCTCTACAATTTGGACATGTCATAGGTTGAGGATCGGGTCCAAGGTTTAGTGATTGCTGGATAATAACAGTTGTTGCTAAAAAAAATAGAAAACAAATTACTTAGGCTGTAGAAACTAATTATAAAAATCATTTCGGTCAGTTTCAAATGATTAAGTCTAGGTTTAAAATTTATTGTCTACTTTTAATATTAGCATGAACTTTTTTTTTGGAATTTGCGTTAAAAAACTTAGTTGTAGTTATTTTGAGTGTGCTATCAAGTTCAAGTTGGCATATACTTATACCAAAACATTTCATATCCCTACCAATTCCAATCAGAAATATAAATAATTATCATGATTTGTTTAATAATTTAGTTCTACATGCGCATACGTGATTTATACAATTTACTAGCATGAGCTTTGAATTTAATGTCACTGATCATCAATTCAGGAACTAATACTTCGTATTCATTCTACTTAAGCATCATTTAATTTTATAGAAAATAAATTGTCTTACGTTGCGTTGTTATTGGTGGTTGTCCATATTGTGGTGGTCCATAATTTGGTTGCCCTTGATTTGGATATGGTGGTTGTCCTTGGGTAGGATATGGTGGCTGTCCTTGACTTGGATATGGTGGCTGGTTCATTGCTGGATTTAAATTATTTTTCTGCTCCATCGAAAAAATGAACTATAATTTATTAATTTTTTCTTTTAATCTCGAATGAGATCAAGATAAGATTGCAATTGTATGTGCAGTGCAATTAATGGTGAAATTGTCAACGTAAACTTTACTCGCTGAAATGTACACACGAACTAAAGTATTCCAATGGAATATTCTTACATTATATTTCGTTTTTTTTTTCATTTACTATCTGCAGTTAATAGAAACGTAAATAATAATTGTGATAGGGTTTTGTATCTTGAATGAAGGTATCTGATAAGCTTTCAAATATAGTTGGTGATTCATTAAGTCATATATTTGACGTAAATTAAATTGCTTCTAGTGTAAAAATTAACGTCATTTAATTTTTCTTTGTCAACTTATTTTCCTATCACATTATATTGTTTCTGTAAATTAATACAGTAGGATGAGGCAGTCCTAAATCTAAAACATTGTGTTCAACTTTAATTTTTGGATAATTTATAGCTTTTTATTACCAAATTATCAAAATACTTCAACTAATACTTCGATCAAAGTTAGGGGATCCTCAAAGGTCTTTTTCGGGAGTCTGAGATTTCGTAATAACTGAACAAAGAAACTTTTTTGCAGAGCTCAAAGTCAACTCCGAGTTGACTCCGAGAAAATGAAGTCTTCAACTTCGAGCTCTGCTTTTTTGCATAAAAATTTGGAGACTGAAAATAACAAGGTACAAAAAAAGTAAAGTATACAATTTAAACCAATCAAATTTTGGCTAATTCACCTTTGATTTTATTGTAGTATAAGAAGTTATCAGAAAACTTATCAGATATGAAAGCAATAAGTAATCGTTCAAAGATTTATATAATATTTTCAAAAGTTTCAATGAGTCAGTCTCTTTTTATTTCATTATTTTCAATCACTTCCAATGAATGTGTTACAGTTAGGACATGTATGAACAGTTTTTTGACAGCACCCACCGCAACAGTATGGCATTATTGCACATGGCCAAAGACTAAATCAAAAGAAATGATATTGGAGATCGTTAACATGTCATCAAGCAATTATAAATATTTATAAAATGTGATGATGTGATAAGGAAATCGGGAATGAAAAAAGTAATTCACACTTACCCCACCAAACAAAGACCTAATGCACAGCAATGTGTTCGCAATGATATTTCATTCTTTACTGATGTTGTTACAATCGCATAACAATATGGACAGGACATTACTATTGGAAGGGGACCCAATAATGGAGTAACTCCAACCACAACTCCAGCTGCTAATATGAAGTGTTTAAAATATTATTTTTGAATGCTTTATTTTTCACTTACTTGGCTGCTGAGTTACGACTGTAAATTGAGGAACAGTATGGAAAGTATTTGGAGGGACTGTAACTACTTGTGGTTGTGGATAAGTTTGTGGATATTGTTGAAAATTTTGTGGTGGTTGGGTTTGAAAATTTGAATGATCATTATAAGACGGTGGCTGATTTTCTGCAGACATTTATAATTTATCTTTTCACAACAGTCGAGAACTTACTGAAAACAGAATTCATTAAAATGGAATTTTGAATTCATTTCACAGTAAAATATGTAGTGGTGAGCCTTAATCCCTGCTTTGATTCAGAGATAAGATATTAGATAACAAATTGAATAAAAACAAAATATGTTAAGGTAATAGTAGTGGATATGCGTATTGTTTTATTTTTAAAATATTGATTATAATTTGAGTTACAAAATTTAAATGATTAAATTAAACAATTTTGAAATAATTTAAAAATTTTTTTATTCATATGATTCTGAAGTACCTTATAAAAATGAACCGACTGTCCAAATGATTTTATTTTCTATTTCCTTACAATGTTGATCACAGTGACTTTTCATTAGACTTTCCTTTTCATTTATCCATGATATGATCCTAAGTAAGCATTACAAGATGGACAAAGATGATCTAAAATATTTATTAAATAATTAAAATTTTGAAATTTGTTCATATTAAAAAGACATTTAAACATACTGGCATTTTTGCATGAGTCGATAGCGTACGGAAGCCCTGTAATGACAAAAATATTTTCTAAAATTGCGAAATGTTTTCAATCAGACATTTTCGTCATCATTAATTAATTTGACGAACTGATATTGAGTCAAAGAAAAAAAAAACACATATTTAAAGTTCACTCACAAAAACATGGCCAAATAAGAAGACAAAGAAGACCAGCCATCAAATGAGTTTTAGATGATGATTCATAATCGATACGAGTTGTTACCAATTTTCCACAGCTTGGACACGTTATTATTTTGGGATCTGGACCATATGAAGTGCCTGTAATTACTTTAACGCAAAAAACGGGAATTTAAACTAGTTTATTCAGCTTTTAGCATATCCATAGTATTATAGGGTATCAAATTTTCAGGACTTTATATTTATAATCATTCAAGCAAGAAGACTTGTGAAGTACTTGTGAAATTCTTTAAAAGCTTCTGTTATCACTGCAAAATCATTGCACTCAAAATTGACTATAATACTTTTAAAGTTGTTTATTCTATCGTTTTTTGGAAAAATTTTGCAATTAAAAATTTCTTGAAATAATTAAGCTTTCATTTTAGCTTTCTTGAATAATTTTCAACAAACCTGTAACAACTTGAGTTCCTTGTTGTCCTGGATAAAACTGTTGTTGCTGCTGACCTTGATTTGGAAAACTCTGATCATAAGACGGTGGAGGTTGGAATCCATAATTTTGATGGTTTGACGGTGGAGGCTGAAAACCATAACTTTGAGCACCTATTTGAGAGGGTTGTGCACTGTAGCCTTGATTATTTAGTGGCTGATTTGCTTGATTATTTTTTTCTGACATGTTTGGTCACGTAATTTTTTTCACTTCTATTTTGTGACAGTTTTTATATCGAAATGAGAGTGAAAAACAAGCGTTTTATTTGCTTTGTGCTTTATCAACAAGATTGCATGTGTGTTGATTTATCTTTGAATAAAATAAAATATTAACGAGTAATACAAGTAAAATAAAAGTCTTTAAATTTCATTTACACATGCAAGTTCGATTTTATAGTGTATCCTGCATATTGATAATTGTAAACGTTTGTTCATGGTTTTTTATTTATTCCTTAATTTTTGAGTTGAGAATCGTTTTCTCTTTAAAAACAGATCTTAATTTATCAATTTAAACATGTTCGAAACCAAAACGAATTTAACAATACACGGTAAACTCTGAAATAATGTTTACGTTATTTCAGAGTTAATTTGTTCATTTGTGATGTCACTAATTTAGTTCTCTGTTTTCAATTCTGCACGTTTTCATTGTTTACATTAAAAAATAATTTACAAAGTTTTTTATTCATCCTTTTTTTCTTAAGACAGTAATTGCTAAGAAAATCATTTCCTGAATGTTTATACCACAAATTGTTTATAAGAACTAAACGATGACGTTGTAATTGATGAGTCTTATTGTATTTTCTTTTCTATTTCTCGTTTTATTACGAAACAGATGAAGAAAAGCTCACACCATGTGTACTTTATTCTTTTTGGGTTTTCAGGTTCATTTTCAATTTTATTTTTTCGCTGAAATCATGATTTAGACAACTAATCGTTTAATAGTGTTAACTTTGATATTATGAAATGTAAAATATTATTTCAATTTTTCAAGATTACTAATCATGCTATCCTTAGCATTAGATGGGATGAAATCACTTCTATTCCTAATGAAACATTTATTGGCACATGTTATGATGATATTCATATTTTTCGACTTTCTTTTGTTTCAATTATAAGTAATTAATTAATGAACAATGAAATGAAGAAAAGATTAAAACAGATAAAAAAAATTCCAAGTATATTTTCAGGTGGGTATAAAATTGTCTATTAAATATTTCAATAGGTTTAAATGAACAATGCAAATATTTAAACTTTTTGAAAAAATTAATTGAGAAATACTCATCCTAAGGAAAGACGACATAAAAAGTATTTCAGCATATAATTTTATTTATTATAAGTAACAAAAACTTGAATATTTGTTATGACATTTAAAAGTCTAAACATTTCTAAGCTAATTTATTTATTATTAACTTGATATGTTTGCATCTGAAAGGAAAAAATACTTACTTTAAGTTAACAAATGAAGTAAATTTATTAAGGCTAGTTAGAATTCATAATAAATAAGGGCCCACGATTTAAGAAAATGAGGTTTATGAACTTTTTGGAATTTAATTCTTTTGTGCTGGTCATGTCAATATTTCACGTCTAGTATTATAATTACGAATTATCAGTCAAAGTATATACGCAGGAAGAAAAGAATTAAGGCACTTATGATCTTCAATAATCTTTGTATAAATGATTATTAAATATTATAACTTAAAATCTCTCATACAAAGATAATTGACCTTTAATAATCTTTCATACAAAGATTATAATCTTCGTTTTTAAAAGATTATTATCTGCGAGAGCCTTGAAAGAATAGCATGAATGGAAAGTTGATCACTTTTGAACCTCCAATCAATGTAAAATTTTAATCATACCATAGAAAATTAATTTTCGATTCTAGAGTAGTATGTTATTGGTAGTCTGAAATTATGAAAAAATACTGTCAATTGTAAAATATGGCGAGTTTGATTTTAAGCTGAGATAAATTAATCGCAAATATTATTATAAAGATTTTTGTTTATTTAAAGACTCTGGGATAAGTTATTAAATTTTTATTGTTTCTTATTTCTTGTTTACTTAAGTATTCTAATTATTTTACTTGTTAATTTTATTATTTTATGCGAGATAAATAATCTCATTATTTAATTGCAATTCTTTGTTTTTAAAATAGTAAAAAATACAAGTCTGCATTGGAAACTATACAACCATTAAAATAATGCGTTGTTCTAATTGCAGATTGAAATTTCAATAATATTTTTTTTTTATTTTGTATATTTGCTTATTTAAATGTGTTGATCATACAGAAACAAAAAAATACGGATAAGGATTTTTTTTAAAAATGTTTGTTTATCATTTTATACCTTACAAAATTGTTTTTTTTTTAAATTAAGTTAAAATTCAATTAAGTGAAATTTTCTTATATTTTATCTAATTCTATCATTCATTTAAAAATTCCTAAACTTTAAAGATTTATCAAAAACGTAAATGTTCTTGTTGAAATGAATTGCATTTTGTAGTAAAATTGTTTAAACCAAGAATTTATTTTGAAGAAATAAAGTTTATCTCAAATAAACATAATTGTCCTTAAGGAAATTAACATTAATACATGTGGACGATATTGGTTATTTGAGTTGGAGTAAAAAAATTAATTTGATTCTCGTAATGAATGATCTTTTATATTTAATAATACTATAGTTCTCTGTCATGATATTTGTTAAGTGAATATAGATATCTAATTTGGCAATTTAGAATTGGATGATTTTAATATTGGTAAAATTATTTTAGTTTGAAAAATCAAATAATTTTGACAATGTGGAAAGTTTGTTGATTATTTCGGTTTAATTGTATTTAGAAAATTTAATTCACTCGTGCCATCAAACTTATAATGATGAAATAAATACATTTGCGACATAAGTAACTAGAAGCTTCTTGAAACTCTGTAATTTTGTATTGAACACAACATGAGAAATCCATGCTTGCATATTTTCTATTGTCTTGAATGTTAAAAATAACTTTTAAAATAAATTATAAAGTTGTTTAAAAATATTTGTAAATCACCTTATAAAATAATTAAGTAATAAATACATTAAAATTCCGCTTTATTATGAAGACGGTGTTGTATTCTAATCCTTACTCCTTAATGTTCCTTCTTTTTTGGCTTCTTCGGATTGCGTGATCGACTCTTTGCTTTACATAATGGACAAATTGGAGCATTACGATGAATTTGTTGATGACATGATAAACAGCTTTTCATTGGCGGAGGTTGTTGTCTGCAAGATGAAATACGATAGTGAATGATATGAACTATACTGTTATTAAAAAGAACTTCTTGTCATGCATGAAATATCAAATTCAGTTACTATAAACTACAAACAAAAAATGAATAAATGATTAATGTAGCGGATTGTTTTGACTTAGAAGCTAGTTGATATTTAGAGTCTAAACTCTTCAAAAATGAAGAAATTGTTCACTTTTTTGACCATCACTATTTTAAACCAACTCGAATATCAAGGGTTTAAGCGGTTTTAAAGGTGACAACGTTTTCACTAGTTTATCTTTATCTGCACTGTTACTAATAATAGCTCTATTTCATAACTTTTCATACAAATCTCGTTTATCAAAAAGGTTCATGTACGAGAAAAATACAATGAGAAACATAAATCGGAACGAAATAATAATGAAAACTGATATGCATATGGAAATGAAACTAATAAATGAAATAATAAAACAAAAGAAAATACCTCAATGAGACATTGAAATCAGACCTGAAAGTTGGATGCATTCCGAGTGTTGGTGCTGATTGTTGTATACGAGAAACTGGATTGGAAATTTCAGATGGTTTATTTGTCATTCCTCTTAGACCTTGTCCCGATGGTGGTGCTGGCGGTAGAAATCCGTGTGTAGGGTTCAATGGAGTAATATGCGAATTATCGTTTGGCGGTAAAGGATGATGAGCATTTGCTGGATTTGATGTGAGTGCTGAAACTGGAGTTGGTCGAGTGAAACTTGCCGATGGTGTCGTTATTTTATTTGAATAGAAGTTTGTATGTTGTTGAAAGCGCCTAAAAGAATGAATTTGAATTTTAATCTGAAATTTCTATACAAGAACAAACGGGAAACCTTTAAAGCCGAAATACTTACTCTGGTGGGATAATTGAACCCTCTTCTTCATGCAATTCAGGCAATTTTTCTAATCCCAAATATTCACGTCTCATTGTATCAATTTCACCTTTGAGTGGAGTGTATTCCTCATGAAATCGATTAGCCATGCCTACAGATCTCTGTCTATTTTCTTCTGCTTGTTTGATGACAGTTTCCATCTGTCGTTAAACAAAAAAAAAAATAATAAAAATCAAACAAATATTTATATGTGTGAAATTGTTTTTAGATCTTACGGCATTTATATCGGCATGAATTTGTCGAAGTTCCTCAACATGACTCATTTTTTCTTGCATCAATAATTCTAATTCTCGACGATATTCTCCTAGACATTTTTCTTCGGCATCTGAATTCTCAACTTGATTTATTATTCGTAATTTTAACTTTTCAAGTTGAACAGTTTTCATTCTGTTAATTAAATGTTTAAAAATTATCATAATCAATTTTATGTTCTGGTAAGTTAGCATTAAATTGCACAAATATTTTTTCCAATTTTCTTACCGAATATCTTTCATGATTTCAAGTTTTGCAAAAATTGTTCTTTCTTCGACAGATGTCATTTCAATTTGAACGATATATTATTGATTATTTTGTAAATTATATTTTGAATAATTTATTTTTACTTTTTAACTTTTTTAATTCAATTTTTCAATTTTTAAAAATTTTTGTTTTAACTTTGAAAAGATTTACTTTTAAGGGGTAGGATTTCATTTCACGAAAACACAACACAAATACAAAATGACGGACACATTGAAATATAATATTTCAAATTTTGTTTTTAAATAATTCATTATTAATCATTTGAAAAATTTTGAATTTTTCTTGAAAATATTTATAACTTCCATCATTCTTCAATCAAAAGATTAAAAAGTTGTTTTAAAAATTAATTTTTTAAAAAATATTAACGATTTATTAAAATATTTTTAAATTGTTTTAGTGCTTTTTTCAAATTTCATTTGTTCGTTCACGTTATTTCTTATTTCTGCTTAAAAAATAACGAATATTGTAAATGAAAGTGAAATGATTTTTTACATCGAAAATTCTTGGAAATTTTCATTTGGGTATATTCTGTTTAGAGTAAATTAATTTTGTTTTATAATGAAATAGGGGGGGGGGTATGGGGGGTGTACACAATTTAAATAAATTTAATTTAAACGAATTTAATTTACATTTTTAAAATTAATTCCAAGCAAAACATTTTTAAGTCAATTTTAACAAGATTTTTTTTTCTGCAACGAAACATCTTTTCAAATCGAGGACCTCCCGTATCACACAAAAATTTCGAATAATTGATCATCTTCATTTGGGTTTATCATGTACACAGAGAGACAATTTTTATTTATTTTATTTCTACATGATTTTTAATTGAATCAGTTTCTTTTTTGCATTGTGTCAAATCATTTGACATTACTAAATCCTAAAGTAGCTAAATTGCTCTCAATTTTTGCAAACTTTAATTTATTGACCACTTAAGAATTACTTCTGAAGTTTAAAGTTTACACAGAAGCTAAATGTGATTCGTTAAAATTATTCATCTCCTATAATTGCGTGAAAAGCAACACTATCAGATTTTTTAATAATAAAACTATAGCTAGAATTAAAACATAGAAAACTTATTACGTATATGACCTAAATCAAGCTCCAGTCATGAGTCATAATAACAACAACAACCTAAGAAATGTTTGAAAAAGAAAAATAGACAAACAAATAATTAAGATTCTCTTTTTACGTCATTAATGTGAATCATCTTAACAAAAATTTGTTTAAATTAGATCACGTGTTAAAAATGATGAAATTACTGAAAAATTCTTAACAAAACTTAACACAAGACTTTTTCGAAATTTTTAAATTAAAGGATTGTCAACAACAAAATCGAAGCTAGTAAAAAAATTTAAACTTTTTTTTTAATTATTCAAAACATTTTTTATTTGTAAATAGCAGTAAATAGTAATTTTAAATCATATTCAAAATTAAACACAATTTTAAGTTTTTAAAAAGTAAGGCATTTTCTTTACAATTAAATTCGTTATCAATAACTAGCTCAAATACATTTTGCTTATGACAAAAAATGACTTGTTCAATGCTTTTGTAGAAAAATGTGTAACATATGTCATTAATCAAGTAATTTCGAAGCACTACATTAATATTGATAATAATAGTATGCAGGAGCAGGGGGTGAATCAAAAAATAACCTTTTCGTTATTATTACGATGTATAGACTGATTTGATATAAACATATTCAGTCGGAAGTGCTTAGTTTGAACAAGTATTGATTAAATTTGTTTGAAAAACTTACTAAGAGTGAAACATTCAATTTTCCACCAAAAAGTTGTCTCAACTTTTACATCTTTTACTAAGAAAATATACTAATTTTTATCTAGCAAATACTTTTATCAATGAAAACAAATATTTCACTCAGATAGCGAGAAATTCACAATTGTTAATTGCACTTGAAGTGTGAACTACACTTGTTTGTTTAATACTAATAAACTTGCTATTATTTAACTTTTTTATCATTCAAGTACTATGAGTCACTCATTGGAAATAATTTATTTAATCACCCACCCGGTGCTTTTCAATATAATTTCATTTTCTGGCTGAACCTCGATCATTACTTTGAATACTTTAAAAATTGTTTGATGGTCCTTAAGTCTACCTGGATAAGTAAAATAATGCCTCTTCATAATGAATCTTTACTTGTATGTTCCCAAATATGCATTGCTGTAAAGTAAATAAGCATCAACAATAGAAAAATAATTTACTCATTAAATTTTTCTTACCAGTTAGGGCAGTAGTGGTTAGCATTACGGCAACTATCTGTGCAATATGGAATGCAAACGCATGGCCTGAAAATTTTTTAAAAAAAAATAAGTTTAAAATTTCTCATTTTCTTGTTATCGCAACCACAAGCATACCAGCAAATGAAAAGGCACAATATTAAAGCAATTATATGTGTTTTCCCGGATGCCTCGCGTTGTACTCGAGTTGATACTGTTGCGTGACATGATGGGCAAACTAATCGAGTTGAACCAGGACCGACTGCAACTGATGATTCTATAGAAGACAGACGTCAAAAAAAAAAACAATAATTTTTAATAGATAAGATAAAACCGCAATTAACAATAAACATTGAAGTAAAAATGTTGAAATTTTAGATGTTATCACACAGTTATAAATTATATTGCGAATACCCACGTTGAATGATAACTGTTGGTTGCTGCATTTTCCTTTATTAAACTTTTTAAAAAAATTCAAAATTATTTTTCTATTCAATTTTTTTTTTCAACTAATATTAAGTACTTAATATGTTCAACTAGTTGTTCTTGTTTCAAGAGTTAACTTCCGAATGAGAAAAATTGGTGTACGCGAGAGTAAATTTAATTGAGAAAATGTGAGCTTAAAAAGAAAGAGAAGCAAGATATAGATAGATAATTGCAAGTCGAGCATTTTGAACAAAAAATAGTAACACTAAATTTACCATTCTTCCAATAGTTTCAAATTTAATTAATTCGTTATATAAATTTAAAGAAAAAAATCAAAACTTTTGCTACTCAAAGCTTTCTCTCCTGTTTTTCTGAGAAGTCTTAAATTTAAGGTTTTTCAATAAACAATTAAGCTTTGTAATTTTGAATTTTAATGTTTTATTCTGAATTTGACGAGAAATGTTAAAATTGAATATATTAAACTCAGTAAATTAATTCAAATCAATTTTTTTACAATAACATTTTTAGAAAAAATCTTATGCCGGTTGAAGGTTACTTAAGGTGAGCAGTTTGAGTTCATTGAACCATTTTCACAACAGTAAGGTGATGGAGAGTTGTTTTCACAGCAGTATGGTGAGAGGGAGTTATTTTCACAGCAGTATGGGCTATATGATCCGTTTTCACAACAATAAGGTGCAATACCTCCATTTTCACATCCTTTAATATTTAAATTGTATTTAAAAATTAATTTTTTCAATTTTTTTTTGAACTCACCTTGACGCTTAACTCTTTCATGATTGCCACTGGCCGATTCTGATTTTACCATACAACTCACGAGCAGAATGAGGAAAGTTAAAGTGAAAACCTTTGAAGAAAACATTTTAGTAAGTTAAAGGAAAGAAAGTTTGATTTAAACTGAGATTGAATCAATTGCTGATCTTATTTATATGAACCATCAAATGTAAATGAAATTTCCATCAAACAGGATAATTTAAATAAAATTGAATAGAGAGCACAGTGTTTAATAAATAGAAAATGGAATAATCTATAATTGTTTTGCTTCTTTTTTTTTTTGCTGATTAAAACGATTTGATTGTAATCAACAGATGTTGTTAATACAGATGTACACAATAACATCTCAGAATCAGGTATAAATAAATAATCAAACACATTTTTAAGTAAGTTCATTTAAAACAAAAGTTAAAGAATTTTTATTTAAATCATCCGTTGAGGAGCAACAGCAGTAATGAGCAACCTCATATAACAATGCTTACACTCTATCTAAAATTGTTATTAAGTATAAAATAGCAGAAATGAAAAAAAAAAGTTAAAATGACTCTTTCTTAATCTCCTTAAATAAGAAAAGAATTAAGCCAATGCGTGCATTAAGAAAGGTGCGAAAAAAATTCAAACTTTTCGAAAGTCTAGGGAAGTTTGTTTTGTTTGTGTATTAAGTTTATAGTAATTTGTATTATAAATAAAATAAGTTGGTTTTTAATAGATTCACACTGCCTTTTTCATTTTTGAAAAGATTTCAAACTAATATCATGATATGAAATGTCTCCAATTTTCTGTCCTTATATGTTTATCACTAAATATTTAATTATGCTATCCATCCTCCAAAATATTTTGATTTATGTGCATTTGTAATTACACTTTCATCACCAATTTAAACCTCTGATCACTAACTTTAACAATTTCAAATTGATTCATATCGTTATAGAAACTGAATAATAAACTTTAAAAATGCTTTTTGAAAGCTTTATCTTATTTTCTGAAAAGCTTAAAACTTAGTAATTTTTCACAAAATGTTCCGGGTTTGAAATTTTGAATTTCGATTTTATTATATATGAAAAACATTAAATTTGATAAAGTTGAATCTCTAAAATCATTCCAATTGGTTTTTTTAAAATAAAGGAAATGTTTGAAGAAAGTAAAGAATTTTAAAGCCGGCAGCTGTCATCATGTAACTTTTGCTCATAACTTATGAACAGTCAGGTCTCATTGAATGGTTTGCACAACAGTAAGGCGATGGAGAGCCATTTGCACAGCAGTATGGGCTACGTGAACGATTAGCACAGCAATAAGGGGGAATACCTCCATTTGCACATCCTGAAATATTCGAACATAATTTAATTTAAAAAAAAATTTTGATTATTTTTACTACAAACCTCCACGTTTGACTCTTTCTAGATTGCCGTTAGTCGATTTTGATTCGACCATGCAGCTGACAATAAGAATGATTAAAGTTAAAGTGAAAACTTTTGAAGAAAACATTTTAGTAAGTTTGAGGAATGAAAGTTTGATTTAAACTGAATAGGAATCAATTTTTGATCCTATTTATATGAAAATAAAATGTTGCTGAAATTTCCAATAAATGAAATAATTTAAATAAAAGTACAAAGAAAGCAATATTTAATAAATAAATGTAAGCGGAAAATTGGGAATAATTTACTATAGTTATTGCTTATTTTGCTGAGTAAAATAAAGTTTCTATAAGGCATCACCAACTTTGTATAATAACATCATTCAAGTAGGGTAAACCCATAAGTTCAGGGAAATTTTTATAAATAAACAATTTAGCTGTTTTTTAAAGCTAAGATGACTTAACTACAGGCCTGTGAAAATTATTCAATTATTCGAATTTTGACAAAATAAGTCTTAAAATTGTCATCATTCTCGATATCAATCGTTAAAACTTACAATTAATGGTATAATGAATAAAATTAAATAAAATAAAAGCATGAGCATGAACTCTTTTTATTTACACATTAATTTCTTTATTGACATAAATGCTATCTAGTTAGAATCATTCAAAGCTTTACTAGCCATTTTCCTACAATCTTCTTGACGCATATATGTATCAAAATGCGATTCATTCCTTCATTTAATCAATTTATTCACAACGATAATAATAAATGATTTCTACTGTTATTCTTATCCTAATCAAGCATGAAATGGACATAAGTATACAAAGCATTGAATATTTGATTATGTTATCCTCAAAAATATTTTCATTTCAATTACGATTTGTGTACATTTATAAATGCATTTATCAAAGATATGTGGATATAAGAAGTATTTCCATGAATATTATGCTTCATTAAATGTTTTAATATTTGAGCAAGAGCTTTATCGTTTTCGATATGAATTGAAATTCATCAATTTATGATACTAGAGTAGATAATAAAGATAAATTTCATGCGAGTGTCTGAATAATCAAAAAGAATTAAATAAAATGAGAAGTGCTAAGATTTAAATTTTTTGAACATTACTATTCATTGAAAATTGCAGTATATTTCGTTTAATGGCGTAACTAGGTTTTTTTGTTGCCCTGGAAAAACACAAAAACTATTTTGCAATTAATTTTGATCTCACTAAAATATTTTAATCGTCCATTTAATATTATTTTCACTTTTAAAACCCTTATTACGACACTGAATTTGTCTTTAAATATCTTACAGATACAAAGTTTTAAATAAAAAAATCCATCAATCAATTAGTTCCTTAAATCTTTTTAACCTAATTTTAAGTTTACTGAATTTTGGTTTAAAATTAAAATATCAACTAAGAAATGTCAATTCTCATTACAATTCTTCTACACAGGGGCTTTATGTATTCATTTTATGACCAAATTATTTTTAAGCTTGTGCAGATTAATTTTGATAATTTATTGTATTAACCTTTTTGAATACTGACTTTTCTGAATAATCGAACGATTGTAAGTTTTTATTATATCAATAATTAAAATGAGAAAGCTTTTTATAATCACAGACACTCGGTAAAGTCAATATGAAATCTTTTTCTGAAATAAATCCAAAGAATTCGAAAAAAAATATTTATAAATTCTTTACCATACAAATGAAATTTATCCTCGATTGAAATCTAATGAACACTTTTTTGACATGACTAACCTTTTGAACCACAGACGTCAATAAATATATCTCAATTGTAGTCATCATCATCATTCTATATATTGATATAGATAGAGAAAGGAAAAGAGAAACGTGCTGACGGAAAGGACATCGTTGAAGAATGTTCTTTACCGAAGTTTATTTTGCCATTTCAATGAATATCCTTTTATTTTCTCATCCCATTCGTCGTCAATCGCTCCATTTCATTTCTAAATTGATTGAATATTCCATACAATGTGGCATTAAATGGACGACACTTTCTTTTCTCCTTTATATGAGACTCTCTGCAATGAAATGAAGACGGACGACTATATTATAATTTGTCTGTCTATCGCTAAATTAATTTGGTTTCACTTTATAACCAAATTATGAAGACTTAATATCCAGGAGTAACATGTAAGATGTAATGCATTTAACCCTTAAAAAGTTATTACCTTCCACTTCTTTAAAAAAGCGCTTCGAAAATTATGTTTCACAGATCATTTATAAATTTCGTTTACTATCTTTTCGTCGACTTGATCGTAATTCAATTTTTTAACACAAAAAAGTTTTTCTTTCATTTCAATGTTTTCTTCTTATTTTCTCATTTTCACATTCATTCTTTGGTATTAGGATTGAATCATGTAGTATCAATAGATGGATGAAAGGAGAGCTGTGAAATGATATTGTTTGCCACTTTTTTTTCTGTGTTCTTACTCTTCCTCACTATTGTATGTGATAAATCACGTTCGAGAATGTTTTCACAATGAAATGAAATAAAATGAATGGATAGAATGGATGATAGAAAAATTGTATGGGATATAATGTATGAGATCTACAAAAATTCGAGGCGAGTATACGATGAGGAAGAAAAGTTTTTAATATAATTTTCCTATACTCTTATTTTCTTCTTGTTTGCTTATCCAAACGCTATTATCTCACATATTTCAGAAGCTTAGAAAAAAATTCTTAATCTATATATAATTTAATTATTAGATACTAAGTTCCTGTGTTTTTGAATTTTAATATCAAAATTAATTAGAGGATAGAAGGTCAGAAACTTTGAGGGCGATTCAGAAATTAACGAGTGTTAAATTTTTTGATTTTCAATAAATGTCTGCATGTTCATCTTTGGTTTGAAAAATCCCATTTTGATTAGTTTTAATTTTCACCATCAATTAGCAACAACGCTTAATTGATTTGACCCTCATTAAGAAATCGAAATGATCTTATGTTTTGAAATTAAAAGAAAATAATTTAATGCTGAGTTGCTTAAATTCCCTTTTCATAAAAGCTAGATAATTGAGAAAGAAAATTCAATAAAATAGCTTCTTTGACTGTTTGAAGAATTATTGATATTTAAAATAGTATTAAAATTTTTAAAGATGTTTATCATAATTTTTTCATGACCATAAAAACTTACGTTTATACTTGAGCATACTCTTAATAATAAAGTCATTAAAATGATTTATATTAATTTCGTTCTCACTCTCCTTGAATACTTTCCTTAACTTAAAAGTTCTTATTGTTCCTCTTTACTCAATGTAACATAACAATAATTTAATTATTCAGCTCATGAAACGCTTCATTTTCTCTTCTTCTTTTAATTTTTTTTCCTCTTACTTTGCATTTCTTATTACTGTATGTATGATGAATAAGCATAAGGAGAATTTATGATTATTATTCTGTGGGAGATGAAATTTATTCTTTCTTATTTGTAGCATTTTATTACCGAGAAAAAAAATAAACGCATCTTGAACACATGGAAAGAGATAATTAGAGGCTCTAATGATATTAATTTATTTTACATCAACTTCAAAAAATAATAATTTTTTTACTTTGTTGGACTTAATAAAACAAGCCTGAAAATTAACATGTCTCTTGCATCATAATTTATGTTTACGCGTGGATGGCAAAAATTCTATGCATTATGCTGTGCATAAATAAGGAATGATGGTATCGGTAGTAGTTGGTGCCACAAAATTAAAATATGTAAGAACTTTTTTCAAAAATTTTAGCTTTTAATATTTGAATGAGTTTTGAGAACACATACTGAGAAAAGCAAGAGTTTGTTCATGAGCTGTCACATTTTAAACGAAATAAATTTTAATAAATGAAGCTGTATCATGAGAGAAGAGCAGAAAGCTGGGAATGATTTTAACCCCATACCTTAACAACTGTTTAAAGAATAATCAATATTGAATATCATAAAGTCAGGAGCATTAAATATAAATAAAACTCATTATATTAACGGAAACATTCAAACTCTTTTTCACATGACATGTCTTCCCCCTATCATCCAGTGGCGTTCAAGATATTTTGTTTGCATTTGTTTTTAATTTCACAGTGAAAATTTCAGTGAAATTATTTGTTTTTAATTTTTAAGCCCCACCATTGAATAAAATATAATGTAAATTAAAAACATATAGTCAAACTTGTAGTTTAATTTAGCACAAATTTTTGAAATTTAATATCGTTAAATAAAATTGAAAATGTAAAAAATATAAATATTAAACTAGATAACACAAATGAAAATTAATTGAAGTGATAATAAACAGCATTGTTGCAACCTGTTTGCTTCATAATTTTAAGTGCAATTTTCTATATAATCAATTAGTTTATTCAGACATGGAATTTGTTCTTGGTGGTTTTTCTGGCGTTTGTGCCGGTTTCTTCAGCAATCCGTTCGATGTAGGTTTTCTTAATATCGTAAACTTATTTAATAAATAAATCAACATCAATATATTTTTATTATTTAAAAAACTTGAAAACATTCATTGCTGTAGGTCATGAAAACTCGTCAACAACTTCAAGGTAAGTGAAGTGAAAAAAAATGAAATGAAAAACTTTTTCACAAAACTTTTCGGTTTTTCCCACTCTACTGTCTAAAATTTTGAAAATATACTTCCGATTGAAAATTGAAATGCTTCAGTCTTAATAAAGTATTTGAAAAGTTTCTCCGTCAACTTCCACTTTTTATAAATTTTACATTTGCCTTCTTTTTTGTTGCTAGAAGTTAAGGCATCTTTATGAATTGATAATTTTGAAATATTCTTGCTTCGAAAAGTTTGTTTTCATATGGTACGATATATGTCCTTATTAGCCCATTTCCATAAATTTTGAAGCAATTGGATATTATATCAAACTTTTAATGAATGAGTAACATTCAAAAATCATATTTATTACATGTCAAATTACAAACTAAACCAATTTTACTATCCATACTAAATGTTATATTAAGAGATATAAAATAAATCATGTCTTTATAGGCAAAAGAAAAATTGCATGACATTCTCATTTCCTGTTTAAATCAATCTCTTCCTAGAAACTGTCTAAATGTCAATCACAATTTTTATGTACCAAACATTATAAATTTTTTTATTAAAATTTATTTTACATGTGCTTCTCAAAACCACAATTTAAAACTACGTGACTTTATTCATTCTTCAAAATAAGAAATTTTTAATAAAATTATCATAAAATTTATTTCTATTGTGTTAAGGTGAACTGATGCGAGCTGAAGATGTAAAGAACAAACCGTACAAGAACATTTACAAATCAATTCAGTCAATCATTAAAGCAGAAGGATGGAAAGGCTTACAAAAAGGCTTATCAGCACAAACAGCCTTTCAATTTACTTTGAATAGTGTAAGATTGGGAGCGTATCAAACATTGGATGACTATGGATTTCTAAATCGTGACGAGAATGGCAAATTATCAATGATTCGTTGTGTTATTGTTGGTGGATTTTGTGGATTTCTAGGTGGAACCGCCTCATGTCCCTTTTATATGATTAAAGTACAATTACAGTCACAGAGTGCGAGTTCAAAATATGCCGTCGGATATCAGCATAGTCATTCCGGTCTCATTGATGCTTTGAAAACCATCTACACAAACAATGGCATTAAAGGATTATGGAAAGGTTATACAGCTCTTATACCGAGAAATGTTGTTGGATCAAGTGTGCAGCTTTCCACATTTTCTGTTTGCAAAAATTTTCTCGCACAATACGATACATTTGCAGATTCAATTTTCTTACGTGCAGTTGTAGGCAGTGCAGTAACAGGCTTAGTGACCTGCATTTTTATGACTCCATTTGATACAGCTGCCACTCGAATGTTTAATCAACCAGTAGGAAAAGACGGAAGGGGTTTATTGTATCGTAATCTTATCGATTGCTTTATTAAAGTTACAAAAACTGAAGGCTTTTTTGGTGGCTTCTATAAAGGATTCGGGCCCAATTATTTCCGTATGGCTCCACAACACCTACTTAATCTTACGTTTTGGGAGAAGTTTAAAGAAATAAACAACAAAATCCAAAATAGATAGATAAAATTATTTTAGACTTTTCACTTTTAGAAATTTTTTTGTAGATGTGTATGTAAATTAATTTAAACTTTTTTAATGCTAGGAGCTATGATCAAGAATCTGAAAGTTAATTTTGCATTTTATAAATTAAAAAAAAGGATTCAACGTTATTATTTTTTGTGAATATATTTTTTTTTATACTATTGAATAAATGCTGTTAAAAATGTGGCAAAGCTTAATGTATTAAGTTTCTTCTCTTATTAAAATTTTATGAATTCTTTCCAAAATATCCCAAATATCCTGAGAAATTCTAATCTTTTCTTTATAGAACATTAGAATCTGTTGGAATTTTTTAAGATATCACGTTGGAAAGTGCTATGTTGATAATCATCGCTGTGTTCATCAGGAGAAAAAGAAACTACATTTCATCTGCAATTGTTTCTTTAATAATCTTTTATCAAAGTAAAATTGGAATATCTATTTTCATTTGAAATGCACAAAATATTGCGCAAAAAATGAAGACAAAGTCAAAAAAATTTATATTTTTCATTTTTGTTATGTCTAGAGAAGATTTTTGTTTAAAATAATAATTTGACATCAAAATAGGACAAAATAACAAAAATAAAAAAGGGTACATTTTAGAAATAAAAATTTGAAAAATTTATTTAATGTTACGAAAGGAAAAAAAAATCATACAATAAGTATATGTATATAATATTTATGTTGTTTTTTATTGCATAACTTATTGATATCATTTGTTCAATGTGATCTTATTTGAATACAAATATGAGAATGAAACACAATTGAAATGGATATTTTTTTTCCTCCTTCTATTACTCACCCTGAACACAATACAAAAATAAAATACTTTTTTCTGTGACTTTTTGATCCGAAATTTTCCAATTTTTATGCTGATTTTCATTTGTTATATTTTGTTTCCATTTCTTTTTATACATTTATACATATTGAAAGCATTAAAGAGATTTTTTTGTTTGTTTGTTCTTTGTTATTTCATTTATTCATGACAGGTCTGGATTTTTTTCAGTTCCCATTTAAAAATCAAAAATTTAGTATAAAACTAAATTAGGGAGCGTATGCTTATTACGTAAGATATAAAATTATTTAGTAGACCTCGTTATTAAATGTACATTCTAGGAATATAATGTAAAGAAACATTCTAGCTAATCTTCCATGTTAGATAAAATCTTATTTGCTTGATGAACATTATTAATAAAAGCTCCCAAAGTTTAAAAAAAAAGAAAATTAAATGAATTTCTACTCAAATATTTTGCAATAAAAGAGCTGAATATCACTCCCATAAGTTTCAATCGACAGTGTGATGTTATTGTTAACATTAATGATAACGATGAGATTGAAAAAAGCACAATCAATGGTATCATCACTTGAATAAGCTCTCAACAACATAATGTTAATTTATCAGTTATATAATTTATCGTTCATCTCTCTTCTATCCTTTTTACACATTTCCACTTTCACTTATTTCTCTTCCTTTTCATTTCCTTTAAAAAAAGAAAATAACGGGTAAGTAAGAAAGAGAAAGAAAAGGATATGAATGTACATGTAGATCTTGATATCTTCTCATTACTTACAAGAATGAAAAGCGGTTATAGGAAGGAAGGAAGAGTGACTGTGCCACACAATAAATGGAGAAATGATAATGTAATGACTTTGCATCTCTCCTTTCATTCTTTTCTTTGCTAAATTGATCCAAATTTGCATAACATAATTTTTTTCTTCCTATCTCTTCACTCTTCTTCCATGATTTTCTTCTTTTACTCGAAAAAAAAAGCTTTTTATTTATATATGTGATCTTTATCATCATCATCGTCTTTTCATAAAGGTACACTGAAAAAACATATTTGTATTCAGACAAACATTCTCAGTAATTAGGTTTTAAACCTAAACATTTATATATTTACACCATCAGCCATATGTTTGTACCCTGGATTGCTTGCTAGGGAGGTGCAGGAATTTGTTGCAAAATAGCGATAAAAAAACCTGTGCTTATTCACATCAATTCTGATCCAGAGGTGCGCTAATTTGATTCACAGCTAATGAAAGTTTAACGAGTAAGAATACGCAAAACCACTGCACACATTCCTAGACATTTAGTTTAAAATGGTTTCACTTCCAGTATATATATAGTTCGAAGAGGACAAGCAAAAAATTTCCTATGCCGAGTCTCCAAGTATCAGTTTTGCAATAATATGAGTTAATTAATACCTGACTAGTTTAATAGTCTGATAAGAATTTTCAGCATATATTATATTCCCTAAACTCAACGATTACTCCAATTTTTTTCAATAAATGTTGATGAACTTCCCGATTTCTTGGGGTGTATAAATCCCATCATAATGTATGTTCATGTAAAAATATAGAAATCTACTTTTGAATGAGAAAATGATTGTTGATGGATGTTTGGATGTAACATACAATATGCAGAGCATGCAGCAAGCAGTGAAGATAGAATAAGGAGAGAGTAAAATTCTTCCCTCCATATATTTAAGAGATATTGCCGTATTTAGTTTTCATCATCGTTATGATTCAGAGAGCAACATATACAGCACTTATGACATAAATGTACTTGATAGAGAAAAGGAAAGAAAAAAAAAATCCTACAAAAAGATGAAAAGACAGTCAGAATGTGGAATGCTGTTATGAGATTATTAGATGATGAGTCTGCGTGTGTCTATCCTATTATGGTTATAGAGGGTTATAGAAAAAAAAACATTTTGTTTATGCTTCCATGAGCCTTTATAAACTTTGTACATACTCAACAAACTTAATCCCAATATAATTGGCCAACCAATTATAATTAGAGTCAACTCTTGTTGAGCTTTCAAACTTCCTCATCTACATCTCTTAGGTTTTTGAATTAACAAGAGGCATCTTTTTGTGCTAATTAAGTACTGTCAAGTCATTCATGATATCTCTCATTATCTTTTTAGCTTTTCTCATTGACTTCCCACAGAGGTTGTTCATAAATGACGTTAAGCTTAAAAATTTTTTTGAACTAAATGGCAATTTATGCGAGAAGTTTCTATGAAATGTTGTGACATACACTGAAAAACTATTAGAAATTTTGCGGAACGTCATTTGTAAGTGACCGTTTTATGAAGGCATGCAAAAGTTTACTATGAATTGAAATATTCAAGACGAAAACGCAGTTTTTACTAACGCATCATAAATCTATAGTTAAGCAGCTAATAATAAATTAGGAGAAATAGAACTGTTATTGTACCTTCGGCATTTAAAATTCCTTATTATTTCGCCTTCAACTTATCTTCCATCATGACAAACTGCCAATTCAACTTTTTTTTAAAAAAAATATACGCTCAGCTTGAGGTTTTCCTTTCCTTAGACGGCAATTTTTTTCATTCTAAATCAATTACCACAAAAAACTGGATAGCATAAGAAGAACAGAGTAAGATGTGGGAAGCAGTGCACGTTTCATTGATTATAAACGTGAGATTAGTTGCACATGATGCACATAATATTGAAGACGGAAATGCTTGCAGTTTTCTTTCCTGTGGAGTAATGAGAAAGAAAATATTATGGCAGATTAAATGAAAGCAGTTCAAAGTGAATGGAGAAAATCATTTTGTGTTCATTTTTCATTAAATTATCTCTTAACATTTCACAGTTGTGTGAAAAATATTATAAAAGAAATGCGGTTATTAAAAGTAACTAAGTGAAATTAAGTAGATAGCTCTGTGGTGTAGTGGATTAGTAATATTTTTAAATAATGACATCCACGCGCATTGTTAAGAATGGGAAGGCTAGAGAGAATTGCTGTTATGATAGAGTTGATTGGCTTGATGATTTGAAAATGATTCGTTTTTTGAAAATTTAAGTTAAGGTTTTAAAACCGAGTCCTGATGGTTCGATTGACACGTTGACTCATAATCAAAATTAATGAAAATAACATTTGAAAACTAGTTCCAGTTCGTATTTTTCGATCGTGAGAAAAAAGATGTTTACTCATCATTGCCAGCTTTTCATTAGTTGCAATAACAGACTTATTTTAATAGATTTCATTATAAAGTTAAATGGCAATGAGAAATATAGTCAAAGTGTGATAAAACAAAAAATATTATTTTTTCAAGTTTTATTTTTTAATCCTATTAAGTTTCTTCTTTACGTCTAGAGATCATATTAAAGATATAACTGTTATGTGGTTTGTGTGTGGGGCAGTTCTGTTTATTAAATCACTTTTGGTTTTTAAAAAACAATTTTTAAAAAGGTTCAAGACGCTTTAAGCAAATGATCGACTGATGAACTCCATTTATATTCATGGTTTTATATTTCTCGCTTTAGTTTTTTCCAATCTTACTAAAAATATGAGAAAAGCGTTAAAAATTTGATTACAAACTGTAATTTTTATACTTTTTGTCATTTCTTTCTCAACTCTTCATCACATCGTCTTCAATTGCTTTTGATTTTTTTATATTCACACCGTTTTCACGTGTAAATCTATTGGTTTTGTTCAGATTGAAAAATCAGTTTTTAGAATTTTGTGAGGATATGGAGCAAGATAGCTTAAAATGTTCAGAGATGAAAAGTTTGTGCCTTGAATTTCACATCTTTTGCCAAAAACAGATTTCAAATTGGTTGCGGCATTGCTGAGAAAATCGCAAAATATGCTTTCTGTAAGCAAGCAAACAAGCAAACAACCAAGTTAATCAGCAAGAAATCTCAATAACGAGACATCGTAGAGACTTCTAGTTTTTTACATTTGATCCGTGCTGCTCTATAAAAGAGCTGTATTGTTTTTAGGCAAGGTAGGAACAGCCGTTGCTTCAGAAAAAGCAAAAAACTTTCCTTTCTTACGAATTTTTCAAATTAAAAGTTCACTGTGATTTTTTTTAAATTAAACTTTGGATGAAAAAAAATTTTTTGTGCAAAGAACCAAGAAGGAAATACATTTTCAATTTGGGACTAGGGGCGACCCTAGTCAAAATCAATTTTGTCACTTTTTTCTTCGAGGGTTTTTCCAAATGGATTGAAACTTTGAATAATTATTCTAGTGCTTAAACAAATACAAATAAAACATCCTGAAATTTTTTTGAGCAAAGAACCAAGTAGGAAATACATTTTCAATTTTGGACTAGGGGCGACCCTAGTCAAAATCAATTTTGTCACTTTTTCTTCGAGGGTTTATACAAATGGATTGAAACTTTGTGTGAGTATA